GAAGGTCTTATGAGGAAAGGCTGAGGGTCTTGAGGCTGTTTTCGTTAGAGAGAAGAAGGTTAAGAGGTGACTTGATAGAGACATACAAGATGATCAGAGGATTAGATAGGGTGGACAGTGGGAGCCTTTTTCCTCGGATGGTGATGGCTAGCACGAGGGGACATAGCTTTAAATTGAGGGGTGATAGATATAGGACAGATGTCAGAGGTAGGTTCTTTACTCAGAGAGTAGTAAGGACGTGGAATGCCCTGCCTGCAAAAATAGTAGACTCGCCCACTTTAAGGGCATTTAAATGGTCATTGGATAAACATATGGATGATAATGGAATAGCTTAGGTTAGATGGGCTTCAGATTGGTTTCACAGGTTGGCGCAACATCGAGGGCCGAAGGGCCTGTACTGCGCTGTAATGTTGTATGTTCTATGTTCTATGCCAGGTCTCACCGAGATGAAATCAGTGATGTGCATTTTGTGAACCTCAGCCGTATGTTCATTACATCTAAACCATAATATTTTTGCACAAGTTTAATATGACAGCTATTTATTCCCTCAACTTTCCACAGAATCATAATTATCTCATATTTCCAGTTGTTCCAGCTTAAAATCATTGGATTCGTCTGTAGGGACAATGTTACAATGTTCAAGATTCTGTTCTGCAATGATTTAACTGTCAATATTGTTTTGCTGAACACTTGTCCAACTCAGTTCACATATTTGGTCTATTTTCATATACAATACAAACAAATCTTTGTCAAAAATAATTCCAGCTTGATCAAAAGAATATTGATTTGCATTTGATAGCTAAGGCACTGTACAACGGAGAGGTGCTTATCCTTTTTAAAATATTTCTGATCAAGGACACATTCCCTCTATTATATCTGTAGGACCCCTTATTAGTCATACAGTCATAGGGCACAGAAAAGGCCTTTTGGCCCATCGAGTCTGCACCAAAAATAACTACCACTAAAGGCGTGCTAATCCCAATTTCCTGCACTTATCCCATATTCTTGAATGTTGTAATTCTAATTGAACATTATCATTCAGTTCTAACTGAAAAAAAATGATCTCTTAGAATTGGGTCTATCCACACATCTTAAGGGTGGAAGAGACAAACTTTCTCATGAACCTTAAATATGGGGGATACATATATGGAACAGTTGAAAAAAATACACTTGACATGCAATCGTATCATATTGTCAATAGCTAAGCTTCCAGTGCCGTTTTAACTGAATGTCCCATGCATTTTCAAAATTTGAGTAAATGTCCAAAATGTACTAACTTGATGGAGTTTTTTGAAGAAGTGACAAAAAGATTGATGAAGGCAGAGTGATGGATGTTTTCTATACGGACTTCAGCAAGGCGCTTGACAAACTTCCGAATGGTGGACTGGTTAACAAGGTTAGATCACATGGAATCCAGGGAGAGCTAGCCATTTGGATACAAAATTGGCTTGAGGTTGGGAGGCAGAAGGTGGCGGTGAAAGGTTGTCTTTTGGACTGGTTGCCTGTATCCAGCAGTGTGCTGCAAGTATTGGTGCTGGGTCCACTGCTTTTTGTCATTTATATAAATTATTGGATGTGAATATAGGAGGAATGGTTAGTAAGTTTACAGATGACACCAAAATTGGTGGTTCAACGGGACTTTAATCAGATGGGATGAGGAGTGACAGATGGGAGTTTAATTTACATAAATGTGAGGTGTTGCATTTTGGTAAGGCAATCAGGGTAGGACCTATACATTTAATGGTAGGGTCCTGGGGAGTGCTGCCCAACAAAGAGACACTGGAGTGTAGTTTATAGTTCCTTGAAGGTAGAGTCACAGGAAGACAGGGTAATGAAGAAAGCATTTGGTACATTTGTCTTTATTGGTCAATGCACTGAGTAAAGGGGTTGGGAGGTCATGTTACTGCTGTGCAGGTCATTGGTTAGACTAATTTTGGAATACTGTGTTCAGTTCTGGTCTCCCTGCTGTGTAAAAGATGTTGTTAAACTTAAAAGGGTGCAGAAAAGATTGACAAAGGTTGGAGGGTTTGAGTGATAGGGAGAGGTTGAATAGATGGGCTATTTTCCCTGGAAGCTCAGAGGTTGAGGGAGGACTTTATAGAGGTTTATAAAATCATGAGGTACGTGGATGGGGTGAACAGCAATGGTCTTTTTCCTTGGGCAGGGGAGTCCAAAGTCAGAGGTGAGAGGGAAAAGATATAAAACGGACCTAAAAGGCAACTTTTTCATGCGGAGACAGTGTGCATGTATGGAATGAGCTGTCACAGGAAGTGGTGGAGACTGGTATAATTGCAACATTTAAAAGGCATCTGGATAGGAACATGAATAAGAGGGCTTGAGAGGGATATGGGCCAAATGCTGGCAAATGAAACTAGATTAATTTGGGACATCTGGTTGGCACGGACAAGTTGGACCAAAAGATCTGTTTCTGTGCTGTACAACTCCATGACTCGATAAATTCTTGACAGATCTTTACCTGAAAAGTTAATTCTACCTTTTTAACCAGGTCCTTTCCAAACTTTTCAAATTCAAATTATCAGCTTCGCTCTTTTTTTTCCACTATCCCAATTGTTAAACCTTATTTGAAATTAACCAGTCGTGACCAGGGTTACAATCGGATTTGTACCATAGTCACTCTGCCAGTGGACTGGGGAACAATAACAATATATATTTAGTTAGTGAGCATGAGCATGAACGAAGAGTGACACCGAAACACATAAGGAGATATTGGGTCAACTGACTGAAAGCTTGATCGAAGAGATGGTTTTAAGGAGCGTGTTAAAGATAGAAAATGGGGTGGAGAGGCAGAAAGTTGTAGCGGAGGTACTCCAAAGCTTAGGACACAGAAAACTGAAGGTACCAAGATTATGGTGATTACGATCGGAGATAGGAGATGGGAATCTTGTAAAATGTTGCAGACAGATCAAGAAGGGAACATTCCATAGAATGTCATTTGTGACTTTGTTAAGAACTGCTTTCGACATTAGTAGGAAACTGACCGAAGAGATTCAATGCAGGGCTGGAATATGGCTAATAGCCTCATAACTGAATGGCTTGTTGGCACTTACAGTTAGACTGATGCATGAGAATAGTCCCCTTGGCAAGACAACATATGAGTAGCCCAGACTCATTGGTCAGCACCATTAGCCAAACAGAAGAGAACTTGGGGGGGAAAAAAGTTGCATTAATGATTTAGGTTCTGTATTGATCAAAGGTGACTGAACAACTTTGAAATACTTAAATAAAGCAATTAATCAATTCATTGATGAGTCATGAACATTACACTTGTATAATGTTTACTGAAAGGTGAGTAAGCTACAAATTCCCTGACAAGTTGCAAGACTTCGTAGAAGCAGGTTCAAGACTATTCAAAATGTTCAACATCAAAATTTAAAGCTTTATCTTTTTATGTTTTAAAAATATGGACTACTGATCTTGCAAATTTGAAAGAAAACAACTTTTAACGAACTGGGACAATATTAAAATAACTGCAGATCACCTGATATACACGGGAGCCCAAGTTCTAAAAGTCTCTGATGTGGATTAGCAAAAGACATGTCTGTGCAATTCCTCTATTAAATTCCATATTTGACATTGATTCGTAAGTTATTATATGGATTATACGGAAAAAATTATATGGAAAATTATATGGAATTATATGGAAAAAAAAACATCAGCAACTGCCACCTCCTCCACAGAAAGTCAGAGATAAAGGGAATCCATTGAAGCACATTACATAGTAAAAGATACAGAAGATTCCCCTTACAAGACTCCCTTCTGTTTTTGGAATCTTCACAGGCCAGGCGAGGGGAGATTGAAGCTACTCTGTCAATTTGGATTACCTTCATGTATGCCAAATGCCAGCTAGCACATCACAGAAACCCCACCCGGGGAAAAAAAACTATATAAATTGTTTGATAAAACAAGGCAATAATATCAAGAAGGCCTGCAGAACAAAGTAACTCAGCAGTTCGTGCTTTTAGCAATTTTTCAAGCTTGGATCCAATGTTTTGTTTCAAGTAGAAGACATCAGAGATAGAATTTTTTTTAAAAAAGGCAACTTGAAAGTGCCATAACACCCACTCTGGAAATTGATTAATTCTCCTTTTAAAAGGGACTGTCACCAGAAGAATAACTAGCTAACACTGGTCACAATACCTACTGCAATTTCAAGACCACCCTTTTTTCTCTTGGGCTTAAATTTTAATTCCTTTTTTCTCCACCCTGTAATTTGTTCTGTTTACTTATATACTATCATAAATGTGTGTGTTGTGTGCATGTCATGGCATTTGGAAAGGATTTTACCTTTTTAGTAATGTTTCCACTTTTAACTGCATGAGTTTCAAAAATAAAACAAGCTCTTTATTTGTAACTTAGGAGATCGGTATGGTTTGGCCTTCGTACCTTTACCCATGTTCAAATATATACTGAATTGAAAAATTTAAAAAAAAACATTCTGTTATGTCAAGCTCAGGAGTGAAGAGAAGAATGTATTTACCCCTCTGGACTTGGTTGTAGCACTTAAATTATTGATTCAGATGTAAATTCAGTGAAACCCCTACAGTCAGGTAGCAGCTCTGAAAATTGCATTCCTGTGGAATGATTAAAATCAAATTAAAATATGCAAATACATTCTAATGTTCTGAAAATGTAGATCCACAGTTCACAAACTGCCAACTTGTCAAGTACAAAAAGCAAAATTCCCTCTCATTTTCCATAATTTGTTATAATTGAATGGAACTTTATGACTTGTTTTCTGAACAGTCTCGTGAATTCTCTCATGCTCAGTGGTGAACTCTGAGCAGAGAACTCGAAGAAATGGTGCTGAAAGAGAAATGTGATCTCCTATTTTGAGTCAGTCAGTCACACTTGAGTGCTGATATTAAAGTATTTGCAAACAAGTTTTGATATTTCACTTCCTAAATTGTTTTACAATTAGCAAACTTAGGATTTTAGATGTAACATAATAGTATGGCTTCACATTATAAATATATCATAGGAAACAAATTTTATTTTTATTTTACATATTTGTACATAACATTTCTGAATCCAATTGACTGAAATTATATTAACACACTTTAAAATGGTTGAGTCAGGTAATCAACATTTACAAAATGTTGAAAACTTATTTAAGTGACCTAATCACCAATAGCTACAACTTCACTACAAGGCAGGCATGTATTCTTTGACTTTAATAGCACCTTTAAATAAAGTTCATTTGTTTAAAACTACCATCTGTGAAGAATAAAAAGAGGTCCATGGTAAAATACTGTTTAACTAAAATCCAAGCAGTAAGAAGTTAGCTTCTCTTAACTACTTCATATATCTTCCAATTCTGCTCATTTCAGTTTTACTAAATTGCATATCAGTTACCAACATTTTACTGAAATGCCCGATACAACTCAGTGACAAATGTAATCATATTAAAATAAATTATAAAAGAAGCATAGGCCAATCACTGGACATAAAGCTTCAAACAGTACCAATGACTAACACTGATTTTCTTGAAGTGCACCATCTTGAGCGTCAGCATTTTACAACGACAGAAGCAAAGTAAAATCTAGCTTTTTTTTCCTCTCTGGTCTTGTGGCTTGTTGGAGGCATCTCAGTTTCACTTGGCTGTTGTTTTCTCTGCCATGTGCTTCTGCTGACTTTCAGCATGTCTGCAGAAAGGGAAAAGGAGAAGTCAAAGATCTACCCAAGATTATGTCACATTTTGGTAATCTTGTTCATTTTGAAGTGTTTCTTTGAAGAAAGAATTTAATTCGGTTCATAGATTTTGCATTTACATTTACGGTCAGGGCTGAGAGAGTTGAATGTTGAACAAAGCCATGCAAGCCAGCCTGTGCATGTTGCCAATCTTCTTGTCTGACAGCAGAAAGCCATTCAGTCTCATTGTATTCAATTCAAAGAAGGGAGTTAGTTTCAAGTGATTTACATCCACTGAAGCTAGTAGTTGGGCTGAATTGATAGTTCTTGCCAATCTTTATAAGAACATCAGAAGTCCAATTACCAACTTCTGAATCAGTTACAGGTTAACAGACTGTAGAAACACAATTCTGAAAATATAGATAAGATCTGGGTTTTTGAAGAAGGGTCCCGACTCGAAACATCAGCTTTCCTGTTCCTCTAATGCTGCCTGGCCTGCTGTGTTCCACAGCTCCACACTTTGTTATCTGGGCCAGTCAGTTTTGTTGGATTCAGAGTAAACCTTGAGTTGATTCAATCATTCACACAAAGCATATAAATGGAGAAGCAGATACACCATTTTTGCAAAGCTAAAGCTTAACACCACAATACAGACTTGTCATTCAACCACTAGTCCCATCATTCTAAAATTGAGCCCAATCTGTTTTCCTTTTGGAAGATAATAGAAAGCAAACAAGGTCATGTACAACATCCAATTCACACAACAGGGAAGTTAACATTGTCAGCTATTACACAACGAGAAATTGTGCAGTTAGGGTAAATTCTTCAGAGTCATGTATTTAAGAACCATATGGGGGAAAAGCTAGTAGCCAGTGATGTTAAATTCCAGAGAACATAAAGAGTCAAACTAATACGAATTAGTTTCTGCTCCACTGGGTACAGGTATATACTTATGATGCTGAGGAACTACACTGCACTGAAACTTTGAAACAGTCAATTCATCAAATCTGATTTTTTTTTTTTTAAACAGTTCTCCAGTTGAAATGATGTGAACAAGAAAATAAAAGTGCAGCACAACATAATTCCAAGAATGACAAGCCAATATAGTATAGAAGGTGCAAGAAGGAAAGAACATGAAATTGCAGAGATACTCATATCAGCAACAATTCAGGTAATGGGGACGTGGATATGGAGTTCAACCACTTTAATTTGAAACTTGAAATAAAGAACTGATATTGATAGCTTTAGCTGAGCAATTTAATTGTTTGCTGATCACAATAATGAGAGAAAGGTGAAGAGTTGTCAGTCTGAAGAACAATGATAGGTGCAGTTTCTCAACTTCTGATGCTTATAAAATTTAAAACCTGAATTCCATTCATCACATGCACAGAGATACTGCTCCTCAAAGTGGATGAACATAGAACTAGAAAGTAAGAATGCATGAATCCTTGATAGTCTTTACACTTTTTGGTTAAGGGACATATTTCTGGAAATTATTCCTTGGGCTACTTGATAATGATTATAAAACTCTTAAACAGCAGGATCAAGACAATGATTTTATGGCAACAAGGTGCAGGGCTGGATGAACACAGCAGGCCAAGCAAAGCAAAGCACCTTGTTGTCTCGGATTCTCCAGCATCTGCAGTTCCTACTATCAATGATTTTATGGCCTTATGATCAAAGATGAGCTGTCTCATGTCTTCCTTCGACAACAAATGACTTGCTCAGCGAGTCAGTTTTGTAGCTACAATAGTTTGATACAGCTTAACAGAACTCTCAAATCCGAAGACAATGCAATCAGCTATTTCCCACAAATGTAGCCAATGTGTTGCATTGAAACCATCAATGTTAACTTTATACCTTTACCTGGCCATGGTGATCAAGATGCTAACAATGGACTGTACACACAACACAAGGGGTAAAGTTGACTGCATTTGGGAATGAAGGTTAATCACAGACATACCAATCGCTAGAATATTTCAGATGAGTAGGGTTGACACATTCATAACATCAGTTTTTGATGAGAAGTAACAGATTGGGGTGTTAATAGACAAGCAACACAGGAAAGAAAAGGCCAGAGATATGATGTAGCATATATGCCTGTGGTGCAGCATAGTCAGCTGCCAAAGTTACTAAGCAACGGATGATCTTGAGTGCCTGTACAATATGTTTTCTTGTCAGGCAGAGGACTATGGAGTTGATCCTGAGTGAGGTTGAGATATCCAAAGTGGTGACAAATTGTACACTAAATAGTGTTAAGGATTAATGATTCAGAAAGGCACACATATTTCAAATTAGGGGTTGCTGAAGAGATTCAGCTAGGTAGGCAGCATGGAAAACAATCTGTATTTAAAATGGCAGAAGTTAGGATGAAAATGGGGTCATGTGCTGCCATGGCTTGTTGAGACCTCATCAAATTGTGCACATACACGCTGTTGCACAATATACAGAAGCACGGTAACTACAGAGTAGGGTAGCCAATCCGTCAGGCACTTCCTGTACAGCCCACAGGCTCCTGGGCTCAGGAAAGATCAATACACTTGTAAATAGATTACAAGAACTAATTGTGAGCAGGTTTTGCAGGTGAGTTTTAAAACAATATCTTATACATTTCCTGGAAATCATGTACAAATTTTGGAAGACTTCTGCATTTTATTCAACTTTTATGCTTAAATGTCCCACATACTTTTTGTTTTAGTTTCAGTATACACAAGCTAGCTTTGCAAAGAAGTCCCCTGCTAACCTTGCATGTCAGAATTCTAACAATTCCAGTTAGCCAAAGTATCTCTGCTTTTTAAGAGGATGAAAATGTTTCAGGGAAAATACATAGGAATGCAATGAGAGTGCAAAATGTCACCAAATGCTAAATGATCCACTGGGGAAGTACAGAGCTGTCCAGTTGAAACTACTACAGGAGAAAGGAAACTACTCATGTTCAAACGAACACCAACCTGGTAAGGTCTTCTATGTCCACCAGCATGGCATCTTGTTCCATGTGCAGCTCATCCCTAATAAGTAGAAGCTGGACCAACTCTTCGTTTAAACCTGATTTAAAAGTACAGACATCAATTCAGATGATTTGCACCGTAATTGTTATTTATCTTTTCAAAGCCAGTTCTTCTGTTTTATGAGAACTGAGCAAGCGTTAATTTGTTGACAAATAAGTGGCAACAAAATAAATGCAAAAGTAAAAATCTGCAGAAACGTTTCTGCAAATATTGAGGGTCATGAACCTTCAGTACCAACTGTAACCTTTACACACAAATAATAACATGCAGATTTGTAGACAGAAAATGTGAAATAGCAAAGGGTAGTATAATATTTTGAGGGTTTGAATAGCATTTTACTGAAAAAGACAGGCACTTTGTTGAAAAACAAAGTTTTCCATTTTTAGTCATATAGCAATATAAATAATAATTAAATAATGGAAGCAAATATTGATATTTTTACAACTGCAAGTCGGGCAAATTCATTCTAAGAACTTTTGTTACATTACAGATAAGATGTCCAAAACCAGCCATCTTCGGGACCTATTGCTGGATTGTGGGTTGCCCATTATCCAAGGAATTGAAACGCCATAAGTCTATAACAGATTTCTGATCTGTGTTTAAATCATGCATACACCACTAGAAACACTGTCAATTAAAATCTGACCATCATCATTACTCTGTCTTCTGTCACTCAGCCAATTTCCAATCAAGGTCCAAAATTTGTCTTCAATTCCACGGCCTTTAATTTCAGTCAATAATCTCTTATTGACTTTATCAAAAGGTCCCTCAGGAGGTCCATAGACATTTCCCTGTTTTAGTTAGGGAAATCAACCAAGCTTGTCAGACATGAACTATCTTCCACAAATCCTTGTTGGCCCTCTCTGATCAACTGAAAATACACTAGTGTTCAACCGTCCTATCCTCAATTACAGACTTTAGCAATGCCCATACAGCAGATGTTAGGCTTACTGCTCTGTAATTCCCTGGTTTCCCTCTGTCGCCTTTCTACTGTAATCCATTGTAATACCCACTCCTACCATGCACTTGTGATGAGAAAAATAATTTAGTTTTGACAAAGAAGTTCCTAACATTATAATTTATATTTTACTTATACTATACCATACTTAATGTGAACACATGTAGTCGGAACATTTCGAAAGTGAAGGAAGTTGCTGGAATGGTAAGTGCATGAACATAAAGTAAATCTGAACGTAATTTGCAATTTGCATGAATATACAGGTGGAGAAGGAAATAGTGATTTCAAAGTAACCAAGAAGTGCAAATTTAATGCTCTCTTCATTTTGCATATATTAATTTTCTGCTCCATTTTCAACATTTATAACCTTTGTTTTTTTTCTGATTGGTCACTGCTCCTACTGAAAGGATAGCAGGAAGCTTCTTCAGGTCAAATCAACATATATTCCTCAAACAACCCATCATCTGGTCAATTATTTCATTGATGTTTGTGGCATCTTGCTTTATCCAGTCTGAATGCTACATTAGCTTATAACAGTGACTACACCTTCAAAAAGAGCACTTTTGGATGTACTGACAATTTGAACAGCTATAAAAACACAAGTTCTTTTCCTCCCTCGCACAACTGTCACGATGAACCCAGCACATATATTTCAGCTTCATGACATTTTGTCAACTAAACTATAATTCAGTTCACCTCCTCATCAAACTGACAAACTTTGGTAATAGTAAAGATAAGTATAGTTTGGTGTGTAGTGCTATTCACTCAATGCATCTTCCATCTTTCAGCAGATGGAAATATTTCAATGTCCATTCAGGAACTAATATATTCTGCCTGACCAATAATTATCTTGTGACTGGCTAATCCTCATCACATTCAAACGTGTCTCACCGACTGAGCAACCTGCGAGCTAGATTGAAACTTTTTTCTATACTGTCTGAAATCTGACACAAGTTTTAAATAAGGTTTGCAAATTGGACTTGCCAAATTTCATTTGTATGGCATGCAGTAAATACATTGGATCAAGTCAGGACAATTTCAGTGAGGCTCACCCTTCCAACAAAATTGTATTAGTTCTGGCAAACTCTGCCTCAGATTCTGCCTGATTCCAATTTACTCAAACAGCATTTCTCTTACAGTCTTCACCATTTTCATGCAAGGTAATCAAAGAATACAGTGACTATTAAAAAGACCATGATTAAGTACAAATCAGAAATAAGTTCTTCAGTCTTTCTAAAAAAAGAAAGGTAAGCGATTTGAAATAATTAGAAGCAAAGTACAAGTCAGTATGATTACCTTTAAAGGTATCACTGGAAAATAAATGTAATAATTACACAGAAATATTATAAAGGTCCAATGGAATTCCAGGCTGAAGAATAAAAGCTAAATGCTTTGGTGCAATGGAACTGGAGGAGGTCTGTCCAGTCTTGACCTTTCCACAAAATGTAAATTTGATAAAATCTTGAGAAACTCTACCTTGAACATTTTGATCTTGTGGAAATTGAACAATGCAAATAGCTATATTGCAGTTACAAAACAAGAACAAATATACACCAAGTGCAAGTGAAGTTTTTGGAATAATGACTGATTGGTGTTTCAAGATTGAGGATCAAATACCACTAGGGGGCAGAATGACTTTACAAGCTGCAGACTATAGATATTTTCATCAAGCTGTTCAGACATGTTACCATTCAGGATTTGAGGATGGTGGAAATTGAAGCTTCTGGCCCACAAGTAAGGACATTACCACAGTGCCTCAAGAGACCTAGCTGCAGGCAATAAGGTGATTAACAACTCTGGTCTGGAGAAGAGAGAGGTAAGTATGGAGAAGGTCTTTGAAACAAAAGCTATTATGCAGATATAATTTGATGTGAACTGAAGTTTAAACTGAAAGATGTGCATATGGAAAAGTTCATGGTACAGGAGTAGATTTTCAGATTAAAATGACAGTGCTTCATTTTGTAAATGCTGCAGAAAATCTGGCTGACATTTCATCTACTCTTACTGCTATCCAGTTTACACAGGAACCTGCACTTTGACTGGGTTAGATTGACCTAATCTAACTGATTTCCCTAATGTTTACCAGAAATTGTTACTCAACTACCATGTTTGAAAGAGAAATTATAGTTCAGTGGCATAATGTAGTAGTGAACACCAGTCTTACCATTTATGTTTTGATTTAATTTTAGATACTTCACTATTGGCATATAAATGGTGAATGGAAGATAACTTTTTGTTCTGAAGTAATATGAAAGTAAATAATTTATGCAGGTGCTCTGCATCTTCGTTTAGATCAGGTGTACGCTGAAACAATTCTGAAATTTGCAATTCTGAGATTCTGTGCTTATTCCAGTTTAAATTGAAGATTTCTACAATGTTTTCGTATTCAACCTCCATCAGTTGTATTAATTAAATCTGAAAACATCCATCTTTTGTCTTAAACAATACAAGATTATTCTCTATTCTCCAAGTTACCCTAGTGATGCAGTTCTACTACGATGGAATGCATGGCATGCAGTTGGATACTATGTACATGTAAAATCCCCAAAAAAGTGAACAGGAAGTTTTTAAACTCTATTTGACAAGTGAGAACTGATCACTTGGAATTGTGCAGATTAGTTAACTTTGTAATCCCAGGAGCTGATGAATCCTAATTTTGAGCTGTTGAACTAAAGACGGCTGAATTATGAGGCTTCTTAGTTTGTAAATGAGTGTGCTTGGACAGAAGGATTAGAATTTAAGATTGGTGGGACGCTTGGCAATGTGACCTCACGCTACATCACCATGATAAGGCGAGTCAGTACTTTTCTGATCCCCATACCCTTTTCCACTCAGCAGTTAAGAAGCACGCAGCATTTCCAAGGTGCTAGTCAAGGCAATATAGGGATGTTCCTCACATGGGGCATGAAAAAGTTTTTCACCATTACCCAGTGACATCATGTTGCCACTAACTGCTTAAAAGCCATCAGACTGTTATCGCAAAGGGCCAATATATCATTATAAAAATTACACCTTTCCCAACATCACGAATAAGTAGCATGCCTTATGAGGAAAGGCCAGACAGGCTAGGCCTGTATCCTCAGGAGTCTGAAAGAGTCAGAGGTGACTCAATTGAAACATAAAAGATTCTGAAGGACTTAATTGGATGGACGCAGAAAGGATTTCCTCTTATGGAAGAATCGAGAACTAAGGATTTTTTTCTTTCTCTCTCTCTCTCAGACTTGAGTGTCTTTGGAATTGCCTTCCCCAAAAGGCAGTGGATGCAGAATCTTTAAATATTTTTAAGGCGGAGGTGCATAGATTCTTGACTACCAAGGGGATAAATGATTATTGGATGTATGCAGAAATGTACAGTTGACGTTAAAATTGGATTAGCCATGATCTCATTGCACGGCAGAGCTGACTCAAAGGGTCAAGTGGCCTACTCTTGTATCTCATTCGTATGTTTACAGCTAATGCAGTATAAACTGGTAATGGAGATTTGCTTTTCATTCAACCATCTGACTAGATATACACATTTTATGTTATCCTGTTTCGAACACATCTTCAATTTTCCTTTCAACTAATGTTGCATGATGCTTCATCGTATCTGTGGCAGAGAATTCTACATTGGAACAACTCTGTCTGCAAAAAGAAGATTTTCTACCTTACTACTACATTCTTCTGGCAAGAAGCTCAAATTTATTGTTAACCAATTCTCCAGCCTCTACTGAATGTTATTTATAATACCTCTATTAAATCCTTCCTTCATCTCTTTTACTCGTGAAAAATTAATGTCCAAATTTTTAAGCTCTTTTTTCCTAACTAGAGATTGTATTTTTTGGCAGCCTTTCAGCAAGTCTAAATATGTATTCCAGCCATGGCCTCATGTCCCTTCTATTAAGGGTGTTCAGAACCAAACAAAATAGTCCACATGCACATTACCAAGGAATTTCACAAATTGAATATTACCCTTCTATTTAATGCCTCTGTATGTGAAACATACAATTCTATTTGCCTTTATAATGCTCCTTTATGTTGGAACTCATCTTTACTTTTAATATTACTTTGCATTGAACTACATTTGCTATTTGCCTGCT